GCTGTCTAAGTTAAGAAACAAACAAAACTAAGACGTATTTATTTTCTACGTGCCATCTTTACACGCTAAATTTATATCCACCCAGGGTCAATGGACCATTTTTATTTGATATAAATCCAGATCCAGCCGCTTCACCCATAAATAATTTTCAAATAAAATCAAATAAAAACGCCCCGTTATCCATCCGGAATTTCCCAGTAAAACAACCCGCAGGTCACTCCTGTCACCTGCTTCAAAATCCAAAGGTTTAAGGAAGAACAGATAATTTCTTAAGTTCTCTTGCGGAGAGGATGTTCGATTCAGGGTTGTAAGGGAGGTTTAATTCGATTTGAAATATTCTCAACGGTTATTGAGGAAAATTGAAAATTCGCATCGCGGGCCTGAGCAAGAAAGAGATGAGGTCAGTTGTTGACCTTCCGGTAAAGATTGGTTTGAAAACAAAACCCAAAAGGGATTATTAAAAGACAAACAAGAAAATGTTCAATTAATTTGTTTCAATTTTATCTCTGGGTAAAATGAGTTGTTATTTGAAATTCAATTTCAGGATTTAAGAACGTGCTATATTCGTTGTTTTCTCAGGGCAATAAAGTTCAGCGTATGTCGGAGAATAAAGAGCTTAATAAAAACAATAATCCAAATAGAAGTAAATAAAAACGATTTTCAAGTGGAGATGCTGCTGATTACTAGAAAAATAATAACTAGAAAGGCCCATGAAAATTTCACGATTTCCTGATGAATCTTAATTCTTAAGTGAATGATTAAGTAAGCTCATGGCGAGTTCTACGACAAGAAAATATCCGTAGAAAATAAATATTTGAACTTAAATAGCTTCAATAAAATTCTGTATTAGCAAACGTAATTGTGAATGTTGGTCGTTATTTTAAGAAGTAAGGAGGTACAAATGAAAAGATTTGATATTGACCACTTTTTCGTTTTCACTAAAACAACCGCTAAACACTTCTGTCTTCCCTTCTTTTTTTTTCATACTTTTTTCATTCATTTTCTCATTGAAATCAAATAGCGTTTCTGATATGTCTTTTGTTTTTACACGTAATCAAAAGAGAATAGTCCGTCATTTACGAGGTAATGGCAGGAGATATTAAATACTAGTATCTTCCCTTATTCATGTGTTTCTTTGTTTCTTTCTTCCTTTCTTTTTCTCACTGAAACGGTTTAGTGCCTTTCCTCTCTTTCAATGCGATAAAAATGGAATAGTTCATTATATGTGAGGCATTGGCAGGTCAGAACGGTCATGCGGACTAAGGGGGTGATGATCCCAACAACAACAACAATAATAATAATATATTTGTAATAGTTTAATGGTAAATACAATGCTAAAAATCATGTCCCCAATAGGACATGAATAGTTGCAGCAACGACAATCACATCCACCAATATATAAGAACAACTGTAAAAACAACAATCATAATAAAAGTAACAAAGAAAATAAAATAGCTCTATTTCACCCAGTTCTCCAATATAACCAGAATACATTTTTCGAATGATAAAATAATACAAAGAACGCTGATTGTCGATGAGATAAAATGGTTATGGTTACGAAGAGGACACTTAAAGAGCGAAACGAATATCCGATTAATAGCAGCCTCTATATTTCTATAATTATTTTATTTTATTAAAAATACTTTAATGCTATATCTTTTAACGGCGTAGTTCTCCACAAATTAATTATCTTTATAGTCTATGAATCGGTAGGAGATATTTCATCACCGCCGACTCACCACCAGCTAACAGGTGTTGGCTGTCATAGTGTGCATATCTCTAAGATCGACTTTGAGTCGTAGAGAGTTTGAAAGTTTGGCCGTTTGTCTTAGTGATTTATTAGTTACAACAGCCTATTTGGCTGACTGGTATTTAATTATCAAACTTTTATCACAATGAAAATAGAAATTCTTAGTCAAAGAGAAAAAGAAAAAATGAACACGAAGGACATTTAATTGTATTTGATAAGTTTAGTAAAAGAAACAGTAACATAAAATTTTGGCGTTACAACAAAGCCTATAGTTTCAATGCAAAGATTCATAGGAAGATGGCAGAAATCATCATGGTAGTAAGCAAGCATTCCTACAATTCTTCAGCGGCCAATGTAGAATCATCTTCCACTAAAATGAAGAAGTACATGAAGGCAGATGAAAGAATTTTTCTGATTGTTTCTTCTTTTCCATAACGATCTCCAACTGAATATTTAAAGGGAATTGTATACAATGTTCAATATTATTTTTAAATTAAGAATAAAGTCACGTATTAGAAATCGATCCTTAATAAACTACTTTTATCCAATTTTTTAAAAAAGTCATGTTTTGAAAATGATCCTTAATAAATTACTTTTATTCGGTTTTAAAAATGATCCTTAATAAATTAATTTTATTTGCTTTTAAAAAGTCAAAAAAAATTTCATAGTTTACATGTTGTTGAGTCGGCGGCGTTGAGTCGGGGGGATATTGAGTTGACAGTCAAGAGTCATCCTGAACTCCTCTGAATTGACATGATATATTGGGAAAAGATAGTAGTCTGTTTTTTTCCGTTGTCGTTTCCATGGTTTTGAATTCATTTCTTGGCTAGCCACTCAAAATTATAGTGCTCAGTCTACCCTGCTGTTTACTCTATAGCTGGTGGGAGAGAAGAACTTCATTTTCCAATGTTTTTAGTACGAAAGGGGATACGCCAAATTTTGTTAAAGTTGAACTCCGCTCCCCGATTCCACGCTAATAATCTTTAGGCTATCAAGACAACCTATAATTTTTACAAGTGCAATATCTCACATTCTGTAATAGTCTGAGCTCATATTAATTTGAAATGTACTATTTACCTCACTCGAAAGTGATAGAAAATCGATATAATCCAATTAAACCAAATTTACGTTATCCGGTGAAAGGGATTTTACCAGAGCTATATCCCGAAAATACCATACATACAACTTGTATCTAATAATAAGCCTTATCTGTTAAGTTACAAAACTACTCAGTAGTGGATATGACTAAAATATAGCTGTTTTTTTTTTAAACTTTAATACAGTGATTATCAATGTAGATAATAACGCAGTTTTAACGACATTATGATCTCTGAAATTTTAAGAGGATATATATATATATATATATATATATATATATATATATATATATATATATATATATATATATATATATATATATATATATATATATATATATTGGATCAATACTTTTAACAAGAAGTAATTGTTATGGTAATTTACCCACGCATTTATGAACTCTCCCAGCTATAAATAGGAGCAGGTACTGCCTTTTAGAAAGGGGAGTTTACAGCGGTCATCTCTGACAGTCAGACCGAAGATTCCTGCTATACCACTCTCGTTTGTATATGTTGGTATTACTGTTTCTGTTAATATATTTGTTTAACTCAGTCCCTCTCTTGTGTCTTTATTTCTGGCCCCTAACAACGCCACAAGAGTAAAATAACTCAGTTCTTTGAATTCTATTTGGAACAAAGCGCACCAATTTACATACAAATTTGTTTAAATTATTGTCTATATATTTATATTTTTAGGTATATTTCAAATATTTAGATACACTTACCTTGCGATAAAAACACCCGGCTGCTTCAGTGATCTAAATCTGTTTGGCTATTCATCCCAGAGCTTAATTCATGTGATTGATGCTTCAATGCAAGAAGGCGAAAATACGTTTTCTTAAGTCTGTTCCATTTACTCTCTTCCATTTAACAGTGAAATTTTAACATAGGGTATGTGGACAGCACAAATACCGCGTTAAATAGCAAAAACTCTCCAAATCGTGTAACAGCATGGAATAATTGTCAATCCCACAAACTTTTTCATATCTAAAATGTTACTAAACTAACTGAGTTTCTATTTCCAGGTTTTCTGATAAGACGTTCAGTCATCTTGAAACCATTTGGCGTAAGAATCACTGTAAAACCCTTTGAATTATTCAGCCAGAAAGAGATCAAGTTTAAATCATTTTGTGTCAGCCTCACTATATCAACTGAGCAATGGTGTGAGGAAAAAGATCAATGAGGCCTTCAGTAATGGTACCAACATTCTTACACTGGCTTCCATTTTCAAAGCCCATTCAAGAACCATCAAGTGAATGGTGAATAAGTTTAAAAAAGATGGAACAGTGGAGAAGAAATGTGTATCAGGAGCTCGCATTTCAACTTAGAGATAAAGAGATCAATTTGAAAAGATCCAACTCAATGTATATGACATTTTGGCACGTGAGAAAGGAGTTTCAGCCATAACAGTCCAAGGAGCAGTGAAAAAAATACTTGAAAATGAAATCGTAAACGTGTGAGGCATATTTTTACTCCAGGGCAGTAAGTTAGAAGATAATAGAGGGCGAAGATAATCTTGAATAAGTTAGAAAATGATCATGGAATATATATATATATATATATATATATATATATATATATATATATATATTAACTTTATTTCAATACTTAATGGGCTTCCGATCCTTAGATATGATTAATTAATGATGAACAAGTCATTTTCGTATATGATCGATTTCATCACAATTCTTCTATTAAAAATCTTCGGAGAATTTCAGTAAGATATCTTTAATCATTTCCAAGATGCAACAATTCAAATCTTAATCTAACAATTGGTCAATATTTCTGTTACACGATTTGGGCAATTTTGTTACACCCATTGTAGCAACACCACAAATAATGCTGGTCCCTTCGATTTTTTTTTCATTTTCAGAATCAAATTAACTGAATCCGTTCAGCGCGGACGTATTAGAGAACCTATTCCATCTGGCAAAGAAAAAAAAATAATAGACCAATTAAATTTTCCTATTTTGTTTTTCAAAATTCCTTAGCACGTAGCCTCGAGTATAAGACGTAAGCAAAGTCTGCAAATCTAAAGTCGTTTCTGAAGATTTACCTTTAGGCAAATGACGACTTCAAAAGAACTCCCTTCAATGGTTTACTCACTTTCATCAACAAGCTGACGAGATAAGTGATTAGCTGAACATTGAAAGATCTTCTCTCTCTCTCTCTGTCTCTCTCTCTCTCTCTCTGTCCTTTGCGCTCTGTATGTGTGTATGTGTATGTAAGTAGATTCGCTTTTTTTCACGCATATACATAGAGTTATTTTATTTAAACTCAAACATCTGAAAAGAACATTCATTTCATTAAGAAATATCACTATTGTAAACTTTAAATTACGCGTTTTCGCACCTCAGCTGCTTTGCTTTTACTATATATATATATATATATATATATATTTATATCGCGAGAGAGAGAGGGAGAGAAATATTTTAAGGTATGCTTTATTTATGGTTTAAAATGATAGAGTGTATGTAAATATAAAAGTGGACATGAAAGTCAACACACAGAGGTGGCAGTCTGTTTCATGCTTAAATGCACCTGTAAGGCTATATGATTGTGTTTTTGCTCAACTATCTATCTATCTATCTATCTATCTATCTATCTATCACCATTCACTGAAGCATTGTGGGTAGTTTATTGTATTGTTCTAACAGTTGTTTTAGTATGCGGTAACGTTTCTGTTTCGAATTATTCTAGGTGCTATTAAGTGGAAATAATTGTGGATCCGGCTTCATTTTTTGTTTTTTGTTTTTTATTTATAGTGTTGTTTGTTACCTTTATATTTAACAATCAACAAAGCACAGTTTCGTAAAATAACCCACAGGACATGGCGCCACATCATTTCGTGCCACGAAAATGATGGTTTTCAAACAGACCTTCTCGATGCGTGACAGAGTCAGTGAAAGTGAATAAACTGAATCCAGTACATATGCTTTGTACTGCTGTATTACTTGTTTTTCTGTTGTTCTCATTACTTTTTGGTAGGGAGTGACAAGACTTTCGGATCACCCTATACATTGCAGAAATGGATAATGCTTCTATTCAGTTTTGTTCCTTCACCAACTCTTTCTCACGTTAAGTGATCAATTTGCTATTGAGATAGCTATTGTATTAACGAGGGCAGCCATAGATCATACATTGGCTCTTCAAATGTTCTTCCAGTGAACAAACATCCCTGGAAAGGTGAGATGTTAAAGAATTGCTGGTGATATAAACGTGACGAAGGAACGTTTGCAGATACCTCAATTCTTATAAAGATGGCCGCACAGGATTGTTCAGAAATATGGGAAAAAGCAACTTGAGATAGACAGACTGTTGATCTTCTTACACAGAAAACTACTGAAGAAAGTTTGAGAAAATTGTACAGTAGGGGTATTGAAGCTAATAAGAACAAGTCTGTGGGCAAAAAATAAGCTGCATTTCAAGAGGAAATGAAGCAGTTGTTTCATATCTGTAGCTATTACTGACCACCTGTTTCCTATCAGGAGGGGAAGTTCAAAGTTAAGAAGGGTGTCGGATATCACTTGACCTGTAATTGTGATATAAAAGTTGTCAAACGTGAGGTGCAGTTCCTCCTTGAATAGCGAAATGATAAGAAGATGAAAATTCCAAGGATTGACATAAAAGTGTCGCTAAAAGAGAGTCGTGATGCAGACAGGGCCAGCAGACAGTTTGATCAAAGACAGAGAGTTCTGGTAGCTGGATATATTCCTTATGTTGAGGATAATTCGGGTGATTTCAGAGATTTTGTCTCCGATCCAAAATCTCTGACAGAGACCAGCCCACAGAACATGACAATGACTCCCCACACTGACTGCCGATTGTGACCGATAATTGATTAGTTATTACGCTGGAGCTAACATTGCTACTAGTATCTTAATTTACTATGATATTATCACAAAGGATGGTAAGAGTCAAGTTATTGGACCACATGAGCTACGAAATGTAAGACAAAAATACCGATTGAAGAGGCAACAAATTCAGCTTGCTAGCTTTGAAAATATGACGTCACTGTATTTTGATGACGAGAAGATGATCAGTCGTTTGATAATAAAGAACGAATAGACCAACCAATGGAGTTCAAGCACGATAAACATATATATTGGATTGGTGCATAATTATCAAGCGTTTTTGTAAGCGAATTACTTGATAATAAAAATTGCTGTTTCGCTTACTTTTTTAATAGAAATATTTCATTTTCAGGTTATAAAAATGCGTAATGATAATTATACGCTCCAAAATAATCATTTATAAGTGTTATTGTTGAATTGTTTTGTTTATTTTTTTCATAATAAATATTATTGGAAAACGCCTGATAATTATGCACCAACCCAATAAATATATTTTCAGGAAATCTATGACAAAGTGGAAATGTTTTCGTGTAACTCGTTTCCTCCTATAGGACTTCATCGGATTAAAGTGATCTTTATGTTGAAGCAAATATACATACGCATGATTAAAAATCTTTTGGGTACATAGTCCAGTCGATTTTATTTTTGTTTCTTTCTATTCTTGTTCATGGTTGTTAATATTAATTTTGTTATTAAATATCCGACATTGTGATAATAAACGATCTAGCGTTTAAATCACTTTCCATTTTCGTCTTAGTAAATTGCTTTCTCTTTTATTTATTTAGCATTTTATAGAGCAAAATTAGGGTTAGGCTTATTTAGGTAGGGTTAGTGTTAGGGTCAGGCTTATTTAAGTAAGCAAATAATACATTGAGAGAATTGTCTTCTAAAAGATCCCTTTGATGTTTATATAATTTTCTTTAATTCCTTTAAATTTCTCCTAATGTTGTAGCATACATAGGGACAATAATGGGTATGTCCCCCATTCACATAAATACAGTAGTAAATTCTGTATGTTGGTCTGCAGTCGGAGATTCGTCTCCAGCCGTGCCTGTCAAACTCTCTGCCTTCGGGCTGAGAGGATCCCAAGACGAGTCTATGTCGAAGGGCAGATTCTCGTCTCGGGAAATAGTTACCCGAGCCCGTTTTATACGGGGTTTACGGGGATTTTTGGCCGAGCCCACGAGCTCGGATACACCGCATTAAATTCGGCCTGGCGCCAAATCTGACCGCTTGGGGTGGTTGGTAGATATCCTTCAGTTGGAGATTCATTGTGGAATTCACTTGACAGTTAAGTATTGCTTGTGCGCGCCGCTGGCGAATCTTATATGTGTTTTTCTTGTCCTAAGTATTATCGTTCATTACCAACCTTCGTGTGATTATTCTATTCTATAACCTTCCCTAGTTTGCAACACCAATGCAGTTCTTTTAGCAATTATTACAGTGATTGATTAAATTCTCTCTTCGTTTACTGATTTTTGCACTAATTAAGTATTTTATTTAGGTGTTGTAACAGAATTTACATTAAACTTATATAAATTATTTTCAATTGTAGTTGTGTAGTAGAAAAATATATCCTGATTATTTGGGTTTGAGTGAAAAACTCCTGGCTAGTTCAGCTGTTAAACTGCTTTGCACCATTCAAAATAAAGATATTACTAACAATAGCATTCGATTATTAAAGAATTGAAGTAAGGAAAAAAAAAATAAATCCATTGTTTCGAATACGAAACTGAATAGATATCTCACTCGAGAAGCCTGAACGAGTAAGTGTGCTTTAAAGGCAAATAGAACTTCCTTTGAATGTTAATCTTTTAGTAGCCGAGAGGTTAAAGCACACAGGATAAGACGGTGGTTTATCTTGAAAATAGGGACGCAGGTTCTAATCCTGCCAGAGAGAAAAATTTTTCTATATTAAGTTTTCTTGTGTGCGCCAGCTGGTTTGTTTAGAAATAAACCAGCGCCCGGGGATGATTAGGAGTTTCGGGTTTATCAAACACCAAAATTCTTCAATCAGGCTCCCATGCTGGTTGTGATCAACGAGCCGGTTGAAAATATAAATCTCAGAATGCAAATGGCTTTAAATGATATTTTGGAGCCGAAATTAGATAACAGACAAAATAACACAAAATAAACGCTGTTTAAAAAATACGGATGTACACTAAAAATCTAATAAAATATATCGGATTAAAAAAAATTCATTAATTCTTTTTTTTTTTCAAATTTTTCCCTTGGATGCAAATTTGTTTGAACATTGTCCTATTCAGATTTTTTTTAACCGACCGAGTTTAAATATATATATATATATATATATATATATATATGAATAATTAATGAATTTTTTTTTTTAATATATATATATATATATTTGATGAATTAATGATTTTATATATATATATATATATATATATATATATATATATATATATATATATATATATATATATATATACATATGCGTATAGCATTCGTCTGAAGATCGTGAGAGCGTGAAACCCAGATTGCGACTAGGGACATCCTTTCATATGATTTAACATTGTAAAAATTGTTGCGTCTAGGCGTTGAGCACTTGATATTACTGAGTCTTTAGTTTGTTTGTTTTTTTGTTTTTTTTATCTTTTCCTATCCTTTTGAGATTTTATCTTGATTAAGGGTTTTTGGCAAGTTATCCGTTGCTTCCACCAACGGTTTTGGGTGTCTGAGTAAAATTGCCCAAATCGTGTAAAAGCAAAATTGTCCAATTCTTAGATTCAGCTATAAACCGTTGTATCTTTGAAATAATTAAAGATATCTTACTGTAATACTTTGAGGCTTTTATAAAACTATTTTTCTCTACTTTGAGAAATAAGAATGTATAATTACTCTCCAAGTTTATCAGAAGAATCGTGATGAAATCGATCATAAAGAAAAATGCCATATTCATCATTAATTAATCATAGCTACCGATCGGAAGCTCATGAAGGATTGAAAAGTTCATAGACATACATACATATATATATATATATATATATATATATATCTGACGATCGCAAAAGCGTGAAAACCCAGGGTCACAAACTCACATCAATCCAACCAAATATATATATATATATATATATATATATATATATATATATATATATAGGATCATTTTCTAGGATCATTTTCCAACTTATTCAAGATGATCTTCGTTCTCTCTAAACTTCTAATTTTGTCTTGGAGTAAGAAGATACCTCACACGTTTCACGTTCAATTTTATTTTCAAGAATTTTTTTACTGCTCTTTGGACTGTTATAACTCCACTCCCAGGAACCAAACGTCTTATACATTGAGTTAGATCATTTCTAATTGATCTCCTCAGCTCTAAGTTGAAATAATGTTCCTTCTTCCTGCTGTGACCTCCTGATCCAGTTTTCCTCCGTGCTGTTCCCTCTTTTTTAAACTTATTCACCGTTCTCTTGATGCTACTTAAATGGACTGAAGATGGAAGCCAGTGTCTGAATGTTGCTACCATTTCAGATGACCTGAATCATTTTTTTCGTCTCAAGATTGTGGGGCTGACACAAAACGATTTTAAACTGTTCTATTTCTAGCCGAATAAGTCAAAGGATTTTTCGGGGAATCTTACGTCAAATGGAATCAAGATGGCTAAACGACATATTCGAAAACCTAGAAAAAGAATCTCATTTAATTAATGTCTTTCTTTTATATGAAAAAGTTTTTTGGGATGGAGAGGTAGGACAAATTTGCCTATTACACTCGATATATATATATATATATATATATATA